GGAGGGAGGCTGGGTACCAGCGTCACGGGGCTGCGCTGAAAATTGTCACTGCCCCGAGCAGAGGCATCCCTGCTGTTAGCGACAGCATCGCGGAGGTCATTCCCGGGGAGAAAGCAGCCCCCAGGCCCCTCCAACTGCCTGGAGGGTAGAGGCAAGAATGCTCCATGGATTGTTCAAAATATTGAACCTTTATGAATAAAATACTTCCTGGCGTTATCTTCTGTAATACCAAAGTTTTATCAGTGCAGTTTCCTTTCAATACAAAGGAAGTTTCCTTTTAATTCCAAAGGGGAAAGATACAGCCACCTGAAAAATATCTGAAGAGTTATGTTACAGGGATAGGAGCTCTTTGTCAAACAACAAATCTTCTGACTGTCTTTGTTTCTTCTTAATTGGCACTCTAGAGGTTCCTGTCGGGGTACTAAGGCAAGCCTCCACCCTGTGGAAATGCTATGCCATCAAATAATCCAAAAAACACACAACATACCAGCCCATACCTTATTCAAAGTCCTCCACACTAATTAGAACTAAATCCCCCGTAAATTATTTATGTCATCTCAGCTGTAGACTGTGCAACCAGCAAACACACCGGTAGAAATTTAAATAAATCTCAAGAGTGGTCTTAGGAATGCAGGCAGGTGATCTGCAGTGCAGACGGTGCATGCTGGCAGTCCTGTAAGAAAGTGACTTAAGGGGTTACACTAAAAACCTGATTTATTTAAAAAAGATTTAGGACAACAAATTCAATTTAATTCTATAGGAATGTGGTAAGTAAGTTGTGTATATACACACAAAAGTAATGAGGTGAGCTTTGGAAGTTATTCTAAATCTTATAAAGAACAGCCACTAAGTCAAAACTCAGAAGACAGTGAACGAGGAAACCAGCGCCTAACCCCAGCACCAAAGGTGGGAAATAGTCACCCCGTCAAGGGCTGCACAACACGCTTTTGAGTTGTTATTATTGCTGGCATACCCACTATTAAAATATCTTCAACAATGGAATAATTCATTGAAGTACACTATTTTTAAAAACTTTATTTTCTTCCTAGTTCATTTTACTGGCAATTAAACTAATTGAGTAACATCACTCTTCACCAGTGTGTCCCTCTAAAGTGTTGCTATTTCAGAAGACAGGAGCATGACCTGAGTGCGCTAACACATCCTCATTCCACAGCACGTCGATGTCAAAGCTTGAGCTGATACATCTGTAGGATCTGCAAAAGATCCCGATTCCACCAGAGCTGAAGCAACTCTGCTCCTGCGCCAAGCATGGCCCTGCACACAGGGCAAGGCACTGTAAAAATCTTATTTCATCTGCAAACTCAGGGACCTCTTCAGAAGAGCGAAGTAGAACTGTGTCACCTATTTACATGAAAGTCCATGAAAAACAAGCCACTCAGAGAAGCTTAATAAATACTTCAGTTCATGTTTTTTCACGTTTGTTTACTTACCATGTTAATCACCGGGAATTTGGTTTTTTTACAGATTCAGTGATTGATAAATAAAACAGATTTTTAGTCACGATTATAAATTACAACCAACAAATTCAACAGTTTGTTCTTAGGTACTTCTAGTCCATACAAATTCCTGCTTTATCAATAAGCAGGAAATTCTGTCCCTCTTTCAGCATCTCCGATTATTCCTGATGCTCGTGCTCTTGTCCCGGGATCAGCCAGCGAATGCTCTCCGTTCGAATGGTGGCATACATAACAAAGCTCGCCAGGAAGAGCAGAGAGAACAGCAGCAGCCAGTCGATGCCTTTTGTCAGCACGCTAGGCAGCGGGCCTTCCCAGTCTTCCTCGGTCACAACCACGTCGCTTTTAGCTTCTATGCCTAAAAAAGAAAGCGCTCGATCAACGCCAGGAAAAATCATTCAATACAGAGAAGTCGGTTAATTTGGAGCTTTGTTCCTGTTCTCAGACTAAGGCGCACGTACAGTTGGGCTTTGGCGAGATGATCCTTGTGTGTTAACGTATACTTAGGACACAGTTTACTCACATAAAAACAGAGTGATTTTTAAGGGTCTTTTCACAATAGGAGAAGGTTTCTCCTGTCCCGCCCCAGCACAGCCGTTTGTGAGTTTGTGTTTTTGTTTTCTTGTTTGGTTGGTTTTGGGGTTTTTTTGGTGAAGGTTTTTTTTTATTTATTTCTGCTGTATTAGCAAATGTAACAGTTTCTTCCCTCTGATGAAGGCCTTCATAAGCCTACGCACGGGTTATTTTCTTTCTGTCTAGAACACACCGCCAAAGAGCCAGAGAGCTGCTGGTGCCGAGCTCACAACATGGACAGATGGTGGAAACTGGAATCCTTTTGCTCCTCCAGCACAAGAGCTGAAACCATCTTCTCCCCCAGCTGCTGTCAGCCTTACACGGCTCTGGAAACAATCCCAAGGTTCATCTGCCTTTATTCCCGAATCAGATATCTGGGCAGGAAGGTGTGCTCCCTCCCAGCCAAACCCCACTGTTTCCCCCGCTCCGGGACAGCAGCCCAGGCGGTTGGGTTTCTGCTTTCAGCAGGTCCTGAAATCCAGCTCACTGCAGCAACGGATAATATAAACCTCTGCTGGGTCCTCTCAGAGTCTTTATAAAATCCATTTTAAAGAACAAACAGCAGGGAGAGGGAAGGCCAGGTTGGAGGCAAAAGCCAGCCTGTTCTTTCTACTGCCGCCTCAGGGCTGAGTTCCGTACCTGTCTGATTAAAAATGAAGTCTTTCAGTGTCTCCAGCGTTCTGTCTGTATGATTGAACCTAGCCATGGGTTTAGCACCTTGGAAAAGGAGGATATTGGGTACAGCCACGGTTCCGAATCGAGTTGATAAACTGATGAACAAAAAGCAAATACAAAGCATGAAAGACAAGAAATCCACTGGAGGAACAAAGATAGCCACAATACAGGTAGTGTCACTTCTACTAAATTAAAATGTCACTTTATAAAAAAAAAAAAAAAAAAAAGAAAAATCACTCCTGTTCTTAAAACACCCAACTTGCTAACATTCTGGATGGCAGAGCACAGGATGTGTAAATTACCTGCTGTGCTGAGATGCATCCAGGGCCAGGAAGCGAAGAGTTGGAAACGCTCGAGGTAAAGAATTAAAATGAGGTGCCAGATTGGCAGAAAAGCGGCACCACGGCGTATAGAACAAGACTAACGTACAGTCGCTGCTGTTTGGGTTTAACAACTCCATCAGGTCCTTAGAGAAAGCAGAATGAGAACAGACATGGACAATAAAATACTTAACATTATTAGTTAATATTTAATGGCATTAGTCAAATTCTCCATGGGAATGCATCATTCAGCAACCAGTTATGTAGCTGACAATATTTATCAAGGAGCTGCACGTTCATTTAATTTTTTTAAAACAGAAGGAGAAGTGCATTTAACCTTTTTTAACTGTTGTTTTAAAAGGTTATCACTTTAAAAAAGAGAATGTATATATATACACACACATATCCATTACAAGAAACAAACTAGATACAGGCACCGGTCCCGGCAGTAAGTGCTGTTAACAATTTCAGAGAGACAATAACCCATACAGCAGGAAAGCTGACAGTTCACAGGCACGGGGACGGAGCTCTATCTCCCTTTTTCTCTGCTCAGAAGGACACCAAAGGCCTCCTTGCCCAGACGTTTCCTCTTTTCGACAGCACAGAGGACGTCACACAAAGAAATCACCAAGTCAGGGAAAGCAACAGCCCCGGGGTGCCGAGGGGCATCTCCCCCCGCCCGCTCACCTCCGACACGTTCAGGATCTGCGGCGTGAACCGCTGGATGCCGCTGACGTTTCTCTCCTCGCAGGTCACTTTGGGAGCTCTGGCGCTGTCGGTGCCGTTCGCCTCCTCGGC